TTCGACCATGGGAAGTGTGATTCCACCCTCAATTGTGTCGGCTGTTGCATCTGGATTGCCGTTTGGCGCCACAACTTCTACAGGAAGTATACCAACAGGTGATGATGCTGCTGGGGCTTTCGAGTCGAAGGATCTAAAGGAGCTCAACGAAGAGCTGGAAAAGCTGGGTGGCATGGATGCAAGCCAGCGGCCGATCTAAAGCACTAGGACCGAGTGCTTCGATGCAGCCAGTTCTTCTGCTCACAAGTGACGAAAAGTGAGGCTTTGAATTGCCCAAGTTACTGAAAGAGACGCAGAGAATACTCTGGAGGCAATCCTGATGTTGGAATGCCATCTCATGGTAGTCCCAAGTCGCCATTGATGTTTCATTTAGTTTTGTCGTCTCCTTCCTCATCTCCTTGAACGTCGTTGTCCGCCTCGTCCCATGCTCTTATCACTGAGCCGCTTTGTTTCACAGTATTCGCTTACTATGAGCACTCCAGTTCCGTGGAGATTGTGACGCTGGTATACGGATGTTCAATTCAGATTCTGAAGCTCAAAGGTATCACAAAAAGGCTTGAGATGTCAATATTCTCCATCCGTTGCCTGTGTGTGCCGTGTTCAAAACGACAAGTTCTTAGCAAGCCGTGCGAAAAATATTTTGACGCTAAACAGTCAATTGACGTTTTCACAAACACAATTCGACGGCCGCTGGCCCATGTACAGTGAGTATTCTAACGGCGCTTTTTCCGAACTAAAACAATGGCGCGTTCAAATTGCGTGCATCACTCCCTACATATCTGCACCAAGCCTGCCTCAGATCGCCATTTCTGCTGCAATGTGCCTCCCATCTACGTATGTGCCCCAACAAACACATTGAACGTACCATCCTCATCAACAGTCACATCGAAGTCCTTGACATCGCGTACGCACAATGTCGCTCTTCCATCGTTGTTTCGTTGTGCTGTGTTCGCATGCACCGCGGATTTGCTGCCATTACAAGTTCATGCGCACGGAAGAGAAATGCGTAGCTGGTTCAGGTAGTGTATTGAGCACTGGTACGTCGCAACTTGTCGCCAGCTTATCGACTGTGAAAGTCCAATTGCTATTCTCACAGCACTGAAAGAAGTCAGGCAGCTTTTTCATCGCAATACTGTCTACTTGCCAGCAGTGTCTTACATTATCAATGGAGCAGTTTCGAAACAGTTGCTGCGGCAATTGCTAGTGCTAACGACGCGATTGAAGGGTGCTCTACTTATCGAGTACTGCTCTGTCCACAACCGTGGATCTTATAAAGTTATCTAATGCTGCGCTCCATGGCTCACATGTGATATTAAAGTGAAGAAATACACACCGTAAACAGATACGAGCGCAGCACTCCAGTTACACCACTTCATTTTGATGATCGACACATTGAGATCAAGGTAAGCCTACGGGTAGTCAACACTTTGCGGTCGTTGGTAGACACGACACTGATCGTCGAATCGATACATGGATGGATTTTGGTGATTCAGAATCGACGAGAACAGGACCATCTGGTCTGCTAGGACACGCATTTAACTCATCATCAATCACATAGCAACAAGAATCTCCAACTATTGAAAGCATCTACGTTAACGATTCACGTAGTGCTCTACGCGCTTTTGTTTTCTGATGCTCACACAACAGACTGTAATATCAGGCTCAGTTTCTAGAGGCTCCTCCTCGCGCCCAGTTACTCGACCCCGCACCCAAAGTTTAGCTACTCGCGATTGTTGTGAAGCTAGTATGTTATGAAAGCGCAAAGATAATGGTGGACCACGCCGTAAGACCAGTTTGAATCGAAGACGAAGTAAGCGTACAGAAATGACAGAGATCATGTAGGCAGAAGAACTGGCGTTCTCTCAGTAGTGTTTGAATACATTTTTGCTTCCACATTGGCCTCAAGGAGTCCATGGACTTCACGGCTTTCAGTATTAGCATAGAATATCTTTAACATCATAGAGATCGCAATTTTTGTCAAAGGGCCAAAGATTGAATGACACCATCGAGTGGATGGTGTAGAATTGATTGGACATGGTTCGATTGCCATAAGCTTGAGCTGAGTATGGACTGAACCAGCCAATCGAATATTCCAGAATGAAATAACGGATCCCGCGATTAGAGAGCGCTATTTGTTCAAACGCGATGAGACTGCCCGATACCGGTATCTTGCGGACCCTGTCAGAGCGACCATGCGTCACTATCCTCGTTTCCAGCAACCCTAGTGACGACAGAGGTGTCTGCTGATACTATGAGCCAGCTGGCTACAAATCCTTTGTTAGACCTTCATGTTTCTATCACAACTCCGGCGCTCCATCTTCCGTCATGCCCCTTCCTAGCATTAGTAAAGCGGGGCACGTAACACGCGACATGAAGCCATACAAAAAACATCCACGAGCACGTCTTCCGCCATCAATTCACCGCACCTTTAGGCTCCTCGAGGCTTCTTGCCCATCGTGGCTGAACTTTCGGTGACCAGGCGTGGCTGTGTGGAGGAGCAGCCGTTACGCGCGTCACTTGTTGATTGAACTTGATTGTCGTGGTCCCACCTCTAGACAGTGGCGTGTGGACGTTACTAGACGCCGAAATGCTGGCGTGGGCTTCAGGGGTCGGGCTGCCGCTGATCAGCGCTGCCTGATAAGTCGCTCCTCTATTGAAAGAGCGGGTCCGGGCCGTTCGGATGCGATCTGATTTGTTGTTGTCATGTCCGTCTATTAACATATGATTATGCTAAAGATGTCTGAAAACTTCTAAGCCAGGACAATAGCTCCGGAACTGGTAGCTTGTCGTGGCTGTCACCTAAAGGTATCGGCTTATCCCGAGGTTCGAGAATAAAGAGGTCGATACAGGTATGCATGATAGCCCCGGTGACAGCTGTGGCGGGACCGCGATGTTCGCGTTTTGCTAACGCGGTAAGATGTCGAATTCCCAGCGCCCAAAACGCGCGGCGCTGTGGAGAGGCGTCGACTGCACTCCTCGAAAAACCGCGTCGTTCCGCTCATTCCATAAGTGAGTCAGACAAATGCTGCTCATAATAAACCAGAGACGCTTCCAAACCGCGACACCAGCCTCTAAGTCCTCCGGGAGCATATGGTAAATCCGAAGACGCTGCTTGACGGTATCTCCGGCGCGTGACGATTCACACTCCCGACGAACCAACGCTCTTCCCACGGCCTCCCAGCCCGTTCACCTGTCCAATGGGTAATGAGTTGACCCCAGCACGCGCGCGCCTTGGGGCAGTCCCAAAAGATGTGAGCCGGCGTTTCTTTGCAACCGTGACACGCCAATAACGCCCGGCAACTATTGTCCGCCGGACGCCGGCATGGTACAAGTTGAGTTGCTTGGTGGCTATACGGTAACACGTCAGACCTGATGGTCGGAAAGGCCATTGTCATGCTTCCAAACGTGTGCCGGGTCTTGGTTTGCGGCAGCCCGCTGCCACTGATCGAAGTCACAGACGGCCTCCAGACGCCGCACCAGCGGTCGCAATGCGACTGCAAGAAGTCTTTTGTGAAACGTGAACGCCAGGCGTGAAATAGCTTTTCGTATAGCTAAGTTCGCGACCGACTCGGCGACGGCCCAAGGAAAGCCATGATGCCCGGGATGGGAGTAAAACACGACGCCGTGACGACGCAAGCGTAGGGCCCAAACGGATCTGTCCTCGTCCGAATTAGTAGATAACTCTGGTAGGTGAGTGGTGAAAAACCAGCGAATTCCATCCGCACTCTGCTGCAGTTCAACAGGCTGGTCAGCGACTTCCAAGTACCCCTCTCGCCTCCCGACCACTCGACCTTGTTGGACCGAGGCCCAGGTCCATTCATGTCGAAAGGTGGTGCATGGCGAAGAACCAGCTCAGGTTCGAGCGCTAATTCGCCCCCAATGGGGAACGTAGGGGATGCCAGCAAGATTGCCGTCGCCCACCGACGGAGTTTAGGCTGCGAGTGGTGAAAAGATCGGGGTCCAACCGGCTTAATGCGAAAAATAAATTCAGTTGGCCCTGTTCGCCGAATGTGCAGGTCCGAGATGGGGCAGATGGCGATCCTGTCATAGGTAGCGGATTTTAACGAGAGGCCATTGCCGTCCTGGATCCACGGGTTATTACTCCAGCCTAGTGTCCCCCAAAAGCGATAGATGCGATCTGATTTGCCGCGCACGTCAATATCGATATTGGCTCCAGAGCACCGGATCTTGCTCCAAGCACCGGCCCTGGCACCGGCGGCCATGTACGCCACCGTAAATCAAGTAAGCACATGAGAACTGCCGTCACCGCCATGGACGACGCCAAAGAACGGGAATGTGATGCATATTGCCACGCGAACGCAAGGCTGATGCGGTCGTAATCGTCCCGGTCGACAATCACCACTAGCTGCAGTGCTGCCGGTCACGCTGCTGCTGGTATAAAACCGACTGTGTATGCCCCGAAAGATTTCGCGGCGACATTCGTGCCACGCGGGGAACCACGTTTGTATCGGCACTATCCTCACTCGTGTTCTTTATGGAGCCTTTCGTCCAGAAGCCACCTGCTTCCGTCAACAGTCGCAGCTGAACGGCAAGTCCCCAAAGCAAGCACGCCCGTCTCTGAGTAGCTAGAGTGGCGCAATTCTTGCTGCAAAACAGTCAAACTCAAGTCACTCGGACAAGCTGCTTCCAGTTGTGAGCTGGAGCGTAGCACAAAGTCAACTCTAGTCTTCCCTGCTGCCTTTAGCGCACGACGTAAGTGCGCAAGCTATTCCACCGTAATCGCAACAAAGTTGAGCAGACGGTTGCAATATTTCAACTCGCCTGCAATTACACGGTGGGGCGTAACACACGCACTTCACCGCTTCCAAGCCACTCCCTTGCAGCTCAACTATCAGGCAACACGCTGGCACGAGCAGTTCCCACATTTTCGTATTGCCCACGTGAACAAGGCGACATGTGTGTGTTGCTAACAAAAGGCGAGACGAGTGGGTGGTAACTCTCGTCTGTGACAATCAGGCGTGCACTATTTCCAAGCAGAAATGGCAGCACCAGCACCAGCCGCAGCTCGACTTGACTTGAGGTGTGGCCATAGAAGAAGCGACAGCACCTGATTGGGCTCGCTCGTCCAGGCAAGTTGAAGAACGGGCGGCGAAACGAGCGTGGGAGGGCGTGGCGTGTCGTCGTCATCGTCGTCGTCGTCGTTGGCGTTGCTGACATGGTCGTTGTCTGAGGCGGCAACGGGGCGATCAGACACGATGGCGAGCAGGTGGTTTTCCGCGATCCATAGAGACGCCCAATGAGTCCAGACCGATCGTGTGTCGCGATTGGCCGCTCGACTGGCTCTTCTCGTCTTTCTACGCCCGCCCCGTTCCAGCCGCGGTGGCAAAAACGACCGACGCGGGCCGCAGAAGGGATGGCGTCATTCACAGAAAGGAAGTCTCCCCCGCAGGTGGCAACAGCCGCCTCTCGTTGGTCCCTCGTCCCTCTCCGAGCGCATTCGAGCAGCAGCTCATTAGCAGCAAGCTCGTCCCTCGTACTTCCAACGTTGATTCGAAGTACGCACGTACTTAACACGCACCTGCTCCATTCCGTAGTACTACTACTACTACGACGACTACCCAGTCATCATCAACTTGCCGTTTTTTTGCGCATCCGTACGTTATTACTGACTTTATCGATGGCGTTATGGCGGCTGACAATAAAGTGGAATACAAACTGCTTGATTCATCCCGCTTTTTTGCCACCCACGTCAGTTCCGCCACCCATACGCTCTTTACCAGCCTATCATCAACTTGGACAATAATCTCCTAACCATCTATCTATACGTCTCTCTCTCTCTCTCGCTCTGTGTGTATGAATGAATATGCAGGTACCAGCGTCGCTCCCGCAAGTCGTTCGAACTCGGTCCTGTCGAGTCAGCGACCGTGTCCAAGCGCCTCGTCACCATTCGCCTGCCAAAGCTGTCGATGGGCTGTCAGACGTCGAAAGACGTTCTGCCCGTGAGTCCCAATGAACGACGGCCCAGTCTCAACGAGATCTTCCTCCAAGCTGCGTCCAAGCAGATCGCCCGTGACGAGAGCGGCGTGGGAGCTGGTCGACCGCCAGCAAGTGACTCCCACCGGGATGTCTTTAGTATCTTTGGGGAGCGTGGCATGCCCATTGACGTGCCTCCTCGAGAGAGTTTAGTATCACCTGCATCCAGCACTTGTCCACCGATTAGTCCCAGTGGCAGTGTCTTTTCAACGGCCACTACTGCCTCAGACACGGAGCGGACGCTCGTGTTGCGCCGACCAGCAGGTCAGTACTTCCCTCAGCTTCGGTTAAGCTACGGGGTTTACTCGAACACGGGCGTTCGGAGAGACAATGAGGACCGACAAACGAGCACGTCACAGATGATTGACGACGATCTCGTGGCTTTCTTTGGGCTGTACGACGGCCACGGTGGATCGGAAGTGGCCGAGTATTTGGCTCGGAACTTTCATGATAACGTGTTCAAGTATCTTCGGAAAGCAGTGATGAATGAAGTGGAGAAGGCACGGAGTGTGCGGACCCCGGATAAGGTTCTTAGAGAAGCCGTGCGGAGAGCTTGTGGTGCTACGGACGAAGAGATAATTAAAGCGCAATTGCCCAGTGGATCTACTGCTGTGTCGGTTGTCGTTCGTGGCAGCACGGCGCTCGTGTCTTCTGTAGGGGACTCACAGGTCGTCTTGTCCACGAGTGGCCAGGCAAAAGACATGTGCATCGCTCACACGCCACAGCTTTCTAGTGAACGAGAGAGGATTCTTGCCGCGAAAGGGCAGGTGTCCAAGGGCAGGATTTACGGCATGCTTGGCGTCTCTCGTGCTTTTGGTGACATTGATTTTAAGACTGGACGAGGAGAGTTCAAGAGCAGGTTCAATGGTGATCTGGTCAGTGCTACGCCTGACATTGTAGTGCACGAGATCAAGAGTCAAGATGAGTTCATGGTACTTGGTTGCGACGGACTCTTCGATGTGATGAAGCCCCAAGACGTCGTGAACTTTGTGCGGGCCAAGCTGGGTCTTCACGGAGACGTCCAGCACGCGACCGAGGAGCTCGTGAGCCATGCCATCGCACTTGGGTCGACGGACAACGTGAGCGCCATTATCGTATGCTTCAACCAGAACGAGCAAGAGGTTGCACCTGTGACGCCCATCGAAGCGGCGCAGGCAGCTGAAGCTCAGAAGAAGCGTGGGTCGCGGTAACAAGCTTTGAAAAAGCGCTTGATTGCAATAGTGCCGTGAACTGCTCATGATTAATCGACCACATCCTTTATTCGCCAAGACGCTCAAGAAAGGACCCATCCCCCAATCCCGACAAGGTGCAGCAGCCTACACATGTACGATAGTCCGACAAAGCTGCTGTAGTGGAGCAACAAGCCCTTGTACAATTAGTTAGTTTATCGAGGCCTCTTAGCCGTGCAGTATTTACTATAACACACGAATTTTTGCCGTTTAGCTCCTCTACTCGGTGGACGATACGACTTGGTCCAGTATTCTGGACCAAGTGTCCGTGCACAGGGCTCCGCGTCCGGTCTACACAGACGTTTTGGTTTTGGACAAGGCGCACCACTTTCGCCATAACCAACGAAAGGGAATAATAGATTGAAAGTCAAGAGTTGCAAGCTTCAACCTGCTCGAACTGTACACATGGTCTTCGCTCGCAGCAGCTGGTGATCCTTTGTCTCTTGTCCCAAGTAGCAGTAAAAAACATCGAGTGGATCTCAAGCTGTGAAGATTCACAAACAGTAGGTTGATTTGAAACCCAATGACTGGAACCAGTCTTCTGTTGCTCAATAGTGTGCTTGGTGAACAAATGACGACAACAGCAGCAGTTACAACGTTCTAGCAAGAACATCGTGTCCACTTGCGCCGTCTTCAACTTCCGCTTGACCTACTTCCGTCACTTGCTTTGCTGATTCCTCTTCTTCTTGGCGTCGCCGCTTCCGTTCCTGAGCTTTTCGTTTGCACTCGTCGACGGAATGACCCGTTCCGCGCTTCGTTAGTGGCAATATCTTCCGTTTCTTGGCCAAAGAGAGCAGAGGACTCACGTCTTTCCACTGCACTTTGCTGTCTTTGTCCGTCAAGAGTTTGCGTTCCCGCATGAGTTGCTCCAACTTGGGTGCGTAGTGATCCAGGTCCTTCACCACAAGAGCTGCGTCGACCTGAAATGCTTCGAGTGCATCGAGATGGCTACGCAGCATCGCTGCTTGCACGGACCGCTGCTCCCACATCTCCATGAGCTGAGTATGGACCTGAAGCAACGCGAGTGGAGTGTACTCAAAACGTGGACCAGGTTCATCAGCGTCATCGGGGTCACCGAAGAAGCAGTCGTGCAGCACAAGAGGCAAGTCCGAGGCCATGTCGTACTGCGGTTTTCGTGGGGTTCGCTCAATATCCAATAGCTCTGGAATGATACACGGCTCTTCTTGTCCTGATCCAATCAGGAACAGCACCTCAACCATGCAGCGCACCTGGTGCCACAAAAACGCACGGCCGAAGACCTTACAGCAGTACATCTGCTGACTCGAATCGTCAGCACACTGTCCGGGCCATTCCACGATCTCAAACGAGCCGACACTGCGCTCGTACACGTGGCAGTTGTGATCAATGCGGCAAAAGTTGCGAAAGTCATGCTTTCCCACAAGGAACTGTGCAGCTCTGCGCATCTTCTCAATGTCCAGGTCACGTCGCACGAAAAAGTAGCGATACATCCGTCCCTTGCAGTCGAATCGAGCACTAAACTGTTGACGACAACATGCCACGGAGTAGACGCGAACATCGGCTGGTAGTCCACGATTAATCTGCGACGCGTAGTCCACCTCGGTGAGCGTCCTGACTTCGCCCGTTGCCAAACGTGCCTGAAACTTCTCACCTGGACGCACGTTATCAATTGAGGTTGCTCCAAGTAATGTAGCAGTCGCTGGTAGATTCGATCGCACGCGTAAGGCCACAACTTGTCCGAAAGCGCTAACACCGCGATCCGTTCGTCCACACCGCGAATAGCCAGCGTCGTCCACATTCTGAATGAGCTTGGAGCGAACAAGTGCGTCTAAAAGATAGCGCTCAACTGTCTCCGGCATGTGATCTTGGCGGGCAAAGCCAGCGTACTTTTCCCCCACGTACAGAAACTTGATTGCTACAGCACGCGTCGTGTAATTAGCCATGTTAAACTCGCGCAGCTTCTTCTTTTTTGTCGGCATCAATTGACCCTGTCTCATTTCACCACCACCACCATCACCACTTGCAGCCTTCTTTTGCTGTCTCAGCAGCTGCTTCTCCTTCTTCGTCTTTCTCCGACCGTCCGTTGGTGCAACCTGTCCCACTTTCTCCACCGATAGCTTCATCACCTTTGCAATAGCGTTATCCACAACTTCTACAGATGCACCACAACGTCACAGCAGACAAGCAGAACAACCACAATTAGCAAGAGAGAACGTACTATTTTAAGATGCACATAAATGAATGGTCGCGAGCCGTCCAATAATGGCAGTAGCTCACTTTGTCCAACCGAGTTCCGCAATTCACGCAGAATCGCCCATAGCTGCGCCATGGATACACTGCCATTAGTAAGTGCACCCCAATCCCTGGGAAATACACTGGACGATGATACTGCAGGGGTCAACCCAGTTGTACCCATCGCGTCCATTCGGCAAATGACAGGAACCAGTCAAACGGATACTTTTCAGTATGTAGCCATCTAGTTGCCGACATATGTAGCCATGCTTGCGGCCAGATACTCGTTCGGATGCCGCATGATGTTCAGCCTGGAGGTATTAGCGTCTTGACCATGATGATCCTTTTGCATAGTCTTGGTAGTATACTGACCACTTGACGGGTGCAACTCATCAAAAAGTGCTCGGCATGCACGTTGACAATGACCTGCGGATGCTTGATGCGTGATCTCCATCGCAGTGTGGAGCGAAAGCCCCTGGCGACGCAGTTCAGTCTGCAATGCTGACGGGCTCCAGTGTTTAAATGGGCAGCCGTGATATTGCCCGTGTCCCGGTGCATTGCCAGCAATTATTTGCTCGCAGTCCAGAGGCGCATAATCTTTTCGAGCTCCTTCCAGTCCATAGCTGTGGCGAATGTGGTACGCATACTCCTTGTCAAACTTGGCAGCTGCGATCTTCTTGACGAATTCGCTTCGGAAAAATTGAATGCACTCGTGAACCGAGAATCCCGCGCCTTTGAGGAACATCCGGTACTGCACACGTCCGTCGTATTTCAAATGATGATGCTCGCGGAGCTTGCGGTGAAGCTGCTTCATGCATAACGGAAAGTGCTTGTCAGCGGCCTGGTCGATTGTCGCCGCTTCGAGCTTTTGTGTGCCCGATTTCGTTGTTACTGCACTCGCAGACCCGTTTAATGCATGAGCCTTTGCGACAAGCGCATCGAGAATCGGTGTCAAGCGTTCCAGTTCTGATGGGTTCTGTGCGGGTATGGTGCACTGTAAGTCGCGCATTTGGTCCTGCAATGATCGTCGGAAGCGATGTAAAGCTACGGCTTTCATCTTGCGGAGAGGTACAAAGCAGAATCCGTCAGCAATAACCACGTCACGGGACCGCACCAAGGCAGGTGCATCGGTGAACGGGACACGGTAAAAACCGTGTTGTGTCACGTCGAGCTTCAGATCATCTGCATTCAGTAGCTCGTATTTGATTCCTTCGCTTAGCAGCAGCGCGACAGCTGCATACGGTGGAAGATCCTCGAGACGGACAGCCAAGAGCTTTACTTCAGCAGTCACGAGCCAGTCCCAATTACTTGAAACTCTAAGTGTTTTGCATGGACAGACAGACACATGCAAGGTCATGTAAGATGTCAATTATTGGTTGACAGCGATGAAGATGAAGGATAAAAGGTACCGGCAAAATGCGAGACGCAAGACGTAATGCGACAGTCGATCGGCGTTAGAATCTGGTGAAAGTTGTTGCAATGCCATGTCAACGAAAGATTCTGCTGCTTGATATGGTGAATGCAAACTCCGTCGAGTTTGTATCTGACTCAACAGCTCCAGGCGTTCATGTCCCAACTTCTCAAAGTCTTCCAGACTCACGCGTTGCTGTGGAGCTGCACGGTAGAAGCTGAGCGCGCTTATATTAAGTGTTGACAGCATTTACGTAAGTGTATCGGAGACCAATTGAAAATGACAGTTGGATTACGATACGCGCTCTGTGAATTTGTCGCGGAAATTGATTAGTCAAATGTATCAACGGACTCACCGACCTGTAAACTATTCATTGATCTTTCGTAATGGACTAAAAAGTGCGTGTTGTATGTAGCGCTCTTGTTTCACGCAGCACGTTCCATGGACTCTGCGAATATAGAACTAGTTACAAGGAACGATGACGACATTCTTTTTACTATCAAATCAGTAGCGATTTTTGACCGAGGTGGAGATGCAAAAAATCGCTACTGATTTAATTAACTCGGCGGATGTCAACTAGCGCGTTGTTTTCTCGTGATGGTGTCTGCGTTGACCACTCTTCCAAAGAATTTGACGAGGAAGTGTATCTTGTGCATTATAGATGGAAAAGTATCCGGTCGAGTTTTGCTTAAGTGAAGTCAAACGAGGAGATCCGCTAAATTAATCTTGTAACGGGGTGAATCGTTACATAACAATTTATCAGAAATTGTTAATAGAATATAACTATAAGAGTTATATTCTCAGAATATTGTCATAAGGACAAATATTCTGTAGCACTTACGAGTAGTTCCTAATTGGTTGATATAGGCCATTATATCAACCAACGAAGACGCGCCACGACAGACGCACGCAATGAGTGGTGAGCAGATAGTTGATTTACACATTTGTATTTAGACATAGTTAGATGAAGATAAATAGTGATTTATTGCAGACATTAACTATTATAAGTACACTTCTACTTTTTACTTTAACTCAACTGAAGTTACGAGGCACCGCCTTATTCTGTCATCAGAATAAGTAGCTTGTACTGTCACCAGTACAAGCTTCAGGGTGCCCCGTTACACCTGGTAGCACTTCGTAGTCCGTCCAAGGACCACGTTCACATCCAACATGAATATGTTGGATGATGAAGATGACCAAAGCTTTCACGCTACGCGTGACGGCTACTCCCATTTGAACGATGTCGAATGGGATGCGGTTGAACGGATGGGTTCAACCATGGGCATCCACGCTGTTAGCGTCATGCTAGAGGCTCTCAATAGAGATGCCCCAAATGCTA